TAAAATGGCTGACTGAATGCTCACTGAAGGGCTTGAAAATCCTCAGATCGTACACACTTTCCTACCTTGTAACACTCCATGTTTGTACAAAGTAATTGGAAAAACACAAATCAGGACTCCTGGAATGCTCAGATATGCTACCTGATAATCCCAGCAGATGGTGAGATATATATTGCTTTTTGTCTTGACATTCTTAACACTCATTTTAGTAAATGACCATACAAATGACAGGTTTAAATTATGGGATCTGTTTAATGAAAAATGGAATAACAATGTGCCAATAAGTTCACATCTGCTTGATAAAGATTGTAGAGTAGAGGTAAGGTAGAATGAGACTACTGTTTTAACTTTTCACTGAACTAAACTAATAACCCTAACTAATAACTAAAATAATAACTAATGGAGACTTCTAACAAGACAAAGTTAAGGAATATTGGTGGCCCAGAGTGGTAGCAGCATTGTGGTTATACCTTCAAAGCATATTTATAAAGGCAAAGTGCAAGCTTTACGCTGCCTATTATGTTTCTATAACAACAAAATACTGTACTGCTTTTTAAATCTTTTCCTTATTTTCATTAGTTGATGCAATCTATATTTCTTTGAGACCTCTCCAGTAGCATTTATCCCCGTATTGATACAAACAACAATAAACAACACTGTTTCAGTCTTTAAGTTGTGTATTTTATTGTTCTTTCATTTCTTTTTCTTTTCTGTTCTGTTCCCTGTGTGATTTTCCATGTCCTGATCATTCCATAAAAACTGGTTCCACCAAAGACTTTTCCAGGTGGAATGAGATCTGTCAGTTCTGGACTTAAGATGATCGAATCAGCTTCCCCTGAATTCTTACTGGCAATCAGTTTTGAGAAATCACAGCAGGAGGTATGTCACAAGACACTTGTCTGTAGAAAAAAAAAACAGGAATAATGCTATGAATACAGTGAATCAAGTATGAATTTGTATAGCTGGAAAGTACAGATGATTAACTGTACATTTCCCTGCAGGTCTGCCAGCTGTTTCATTTTTTACCCGTTTGTAGAACTTTCAAGGTGCGATGTAAGACATAAGCAGGAAACCTAGAGATAACACTGCGGAACATAGTGTGTTATGAATGTTTTTACAACACCAGCTGCATCGCGTGACTCAAATATTACAAAAGCTCTTTTGCATTGATTGATTTTCTGCAATTATTAACTATTAGAACTCAACAGGTCAGACTGGGGAACTCGTCACCTGACATTCGCTATACTTCCGCGGGATCACCACAGGGTTGTGTTTTGTCCTCCTAACTGTACATTTTGTACACCAGTGATTGCAAAAGTAAACTCTCAAGCAGACATCATCATTAAGTTTGCCGATGACACATCCCCGGTCAGCTTGTTAAAGGGCCCAGAAAACCAACATGGACCCATTTTAAATGATTTTACTAAATGGTGCGACAAGTTCTCTTTGCAGTTAAATGTTTTAAAAACAAAGGAGCTGGTAATTGATTTTAGGAAAAATGCAACCCCCTCCAAACTACTTTAATTAATGGTCAGACTGTAGAAATGATCAATTACTGCAAGTATTTGGGACTGGTCATAGACAAAAACCTGAGTTGGGACAAAAGGACAACAGAGATGTTTTATCTAAGGAAACGAAGGTATTTCAAAGTACATCTTAACACTTTTCTAGTCTTTGACTGAAAGGATTTTAACATACTGTCTCATTTGCTCATTTGGTAATATCAGTGCCATTGATTGTAATAGGCTGGAAAAATGAGTCAAAATAAGTAGCAAGTTAATTGGGGCAAATCAAATCACTTAAAATATCCTTAACAAACAGAGGGTAGCAAAGAAAGCAAAGTGTAGTATGGATTGTGTCTCTCTCCCCCTCCACAGCTAGTTCACACTTGTCCTGTCTGGGAGACGCCTCTGTGTCCCCAGGTGTAATACGTATAGACACGGGAAATCTTTCATCCTCACTGCAAACTGCAATATCCCTTTCAAACAACGTGTCGTAACTAACCTCCTTCCTTACCTTGCTGTCACACTGTGGCGCTGCCTTCTTGGTTGGTCCATTTTGTCTGTCATTGTGTTGTTATGGTGGGAGTGGGCTGCAAAGTGAATTTCCCCAGATGGCACAATAAAGCTTGAATTGAATTGAAAACCTCTCCCATTTGTTTTGTGCTTTTAACCCATTAGGTGTATAGCCCCTGCCATAGCCTACACGCCAGCAAACTATCACAGGTCATATTCAAAGAGTAAATGATGACGGCGGGGGGGGGACCAGGAAAATATTTTCATCGGTATGCATTTTAGAAAAAAGGAAAAACTTCCAAGCAAGAGGAAGATAACTGACCCACCTAGTACTGTTTTTCACTACTTGATTCTAGGATCTCATTCAGACATTTCTTAAAAGAAGCCAGGCCATTGGCTTGAATCAATATATTCCTAAATGTTTAAGTTAATTTTGTTGGCCAGGCAGCGTCTCAGAGATACAATCCTTATTTTACAGTGTACAGTCCTAAGTGGTTTGTCCCTAGATTGTCCACCTGCCATGGGAACCAAACATAAAGCACTTAACTGAAAAGAAAGCATAACAGCAACGTGGTGATTTTATGAAGATTTCCTTAAAAAATATGCAGTCATCTAAAATGATTTATTCAGATGAATTAAATATTACATTAATTGTAGAAATCATTCAGAAAAAGTATATTGCTTCATTTATTCTTTCTTTTGGACTAAGAACATGCGTACTGTATATCATTAAATCTTTTCTGTAAACTGTATTAGTATTGCTCATAAACTAGCATTTTAAATATGTCCAACACAGATATTTCGTATTTGCTACTACTATGGTCCAGGCAGACCCCATGAATCATGCTGTATTTGGCCTTTTGCAGAAGCATTAACGGCTAGAAAATAAATCTAAGAAAAGGAATTAATTAATGACATTGCAGGAAGACGTTTCACTTGAACGTTTTAAAAAAGAACAGAAGTAACAGTATTCATGTGAAATACAGCTTTTGCTAGCTAAAATTCTCTGTCATTCCAGTTTTTCATGTTTAGTAAAAAAACGTGCTTCTAATAAGACACAGGGTCATTGGTTAGTCTCATGTTCTTCTCCACTGGGAATCGTCTGGAGCACAATTTATGAATGAGGTTCCCTTGGTAGAATTCAAGCATTGTCTTCTATTTAAAAACGCTTACATGAAATATGAACGTAAACATCCCGAAATAATTGACAGTCATGTACATCTTTTGAAAATAATTGAAAAAAAAAAGAGATTTCAGGGTTTTTGTCCTTTAGCCAAAGATGGAAAGCATTTGCTTACAGTATGCTTTAAACCGCTGAAATGGATGTGTTCCTTTTTCAAAGTGGCTCAGACAGCCCAGAGCTGAAATACGTGCACTTCCTGTACCTTCTTCAGCTCTGACTAAAACAAAATAATTTTCCACCAGAAGTGTTATTTTTCCATGGCCAAAGAGGCAATGTGTTTCCATGACAACCACATTGTCTCCATGCAGATTGCAGTTTCACATTATTGTCAACTCTAGTTCTGAGGAAAGAAGACATGACACAGTCCTGAGTGACATATCATTCAAAAGGAGTTCACATTGTTCATATGTTAATGAGTTGTCACATTGGGATATCTTTCTCTCACAGTATAAAAACCCACATTCACTGCTAAAGACTATGGCATTCAATCAAATCTCTGCATGGTAGGGTGTTTTTGGTATTTTATGCTATTATATAAACCAGGTCATTTTTAATAAGCTGAAAAAAACTAGTTGCTGGCTTTTTCGAGTTTTGAGGGTGTTCTAGATTTAAAATTTAGCATTGTAGAGTTGAATCTCTGAAATCATTAAAGGTCGTATTTTGTCAGGCAAAAAGAAAACAATATTTTATCGTGCAGAATTGTCCTTGTTAACAAAAACTTAAAATCTCATTTTACATCTCTATTTTTTTTTTTACTGACATGATGGAACTTAAGATGGTATTTTGAAATAATTTATTTTAATGTATTGAAAGTCACAGATTTTACAGGAATATAAGAAAACACCCCATTGGAAAATTTGGGCAAAACATGATCAGATCTGAAAAGCTTAATCACCCTCTAAGCCATCATCATCGATTTACAGTGTGCTGTATGAGGAGCAGAGGATCTCCTGAATCCTGTGGCTCTCTGGTTGATGAGAATTTATTCTGAAGGGTGACTGCTAATTGCAAAAAACAAGTTTTCAAATCAAAATGAAAGTGTAAAACAAGACTGCAGGATGCAAAGCATTTTGGTGAGTTGAGAAAGGTGTGCACAAACAGTAAACATGGTTTCTAATATTTAACCACTCACCATGTTCTTCTCGATGAATGAAGTTTAAAACAACTCCAGGAACGGGCTTTGCATATTCTTTTTAGGATTTAAAATCACTTCTGTCGTGTAATTCCTTAGATGATAACTGCTGAGGTTAAAATTACCTCTTTTAGTTTTATTATAATTTGGTTCTGCTCGTGAACAAATCTGATTATCCTTCTTTGAACACTCTGTAAGGCAGAGTTCTCCAGACCATGTTCCAGTGATGTTATGGAGTGATGATATACCCAGGTTTAAATTTCAACCATGCTCACAAATACATATCAGCAATCTTATTTACCCCAAATTATGATCATTGCCTTTATTAGTCAATGTTAACAGTAGGTGTCGAGACTGCTCATTGAAGTCACTAACAAAACCTAAGCAAATGGAAATGTATGGGATTGCACTAGGACAGCACTGGCCAAAACCGTATATATTCTTTTTAGATAGTTTTACAATATTGCCTAAAATTGAGTGTTGTGTCTTTGGATGTGCATTCCATGGCTTTTGGCTATATGACAATGTATAATACTATTCAACTGCTTCTTAGTAATGGGTGCTTTTATCTATCCAATTCTGCACCGCCCACTTTTTTGCCAATAGTAGCGGTAGAATTAATTTACCGTACACATGTTTTGTAGCCAACATAGTGTTTAATTTCCTTAGGTACTTAATAAACCATGGTCAATGTAAATGGAGACAGGAATTCTCCATTTGCCGTTCTGAATTGCAGGAATGAAAGACTCGTCACATCCAAGGGCAGGCCCCGTCTCCAAACGCACATTTTTCGCCAGAAGGCATGATGAGGGGGTCGCACATGTAAAGTTCATCATCAAAGCTTCGGCTTCTGAACCGCGAGGTCTTCCCTGTCCACGTTCCCATCCAGCTCGGGGATTCCTGAGCCGATTCCTGTTGCATTGTGGGGGGAGCGGAAGTTGAGGAAGTAGTTGAACAGATTGAATGTGTCCAAACAGCACAACCACCACCACCACCACCACCAGCAGCAGCAGCTGCGGAGAGGAGAGTGCGAGTCAGAGAAGTCGGAGAGCAGGCGGGCGACACTTCAAGGAGAAAATGTTTTAAAACGTGTTCAGGCAGAAAGCTACAACCGCGTAAGGGGCTGTTATTGTTTAACAAACAAAACACTCCATTATGCATTCAGACTGTAGGCTGGAATGGCCACAGTGGGAATGGTGAGAGCCGAAACGAACGGGGCTGGGATTTTCTTCATTTCAACATTCATCATCTTGAGCACCAGGACGAGCAGAGCACAGAAAGGTGGGTAGCTGACGCATTACTTGACTGAACGTGCGGATTAGTGAAAATAATAAAAATCAAGTAAAAAAAAAAAGACTAGGAACTGTTCGCATCTTTATTTAGCCAAGCATAGGCTGTCTATCGCTCAGGTTTTCTTAGCGGTGTACTTGTTGAATCAGAAATAAAAATTGCGCTGTCCGCGATTCCTTTTAAATGCTGGAGGTTGTGAGTAGAGATTCTAGTTGCATACAGTACCAGCCCAGCAACATTGTTGCCGCCGCGATTCGGGGCAAAAGAGTTTAATTGGGTATTCAAGATTGTAAAGTTCGATTAAAAAAAGTCAAGCTTAAAAGTAAAAGCTTTTTAAGCGAAAGTCATATCGGTGCAATGCTGCTTGTATCTTCGCAGAGTGTCTAGCGATCGTTGTTTTAGGATGCAGTGGCGAAAATGATTTTATAATGGATAGGATAAGGTGAGGAATGGAGGGAAAAAAACTTCTGTTTGTGATTATTAATCACTACTGTATTTCTAAGATGAAAGAGATTCAGACCCGTCGCACTGGTGATAACATGCGTTTTCATGCAAGAGATGGGGGAAGGGCCAGATTTCACCTAACACTTTGAATTTGATCTTTTACCTACTCGGAAGTTTTGTTTGTTTGAATATTTCATATGCTAACACTTGTCTCGCATCTCTCCTGATTAATATAGCTATACCAATGTGTATGTATTTGTATATTTAGCTGTCTTTTATGTATGCTCCATTTTTAGATGTTTGCAAAAGTGTTTTGTTAGTCTTAAAGAGAACTGCACAAGTTTAGATTGTATTCTCCTTTGTGAGTGCAGTGACCACTGAGTGAATGCCATAATTTGAACGTATTTATCGAATGCTAATCAATCTTACTTTTCAGAACACCCGAGTAGCGAGTTCTTGCCATTTCTAGAGCAGTTTAATTCAAACTTGTCAAAAACGCGCAAACGGCGTTCCTTTTCAATGCCAGTTTGATGAACAAATTATTTATGATTTCAACTGCAGATTAAAATCACGACTGGCGTACATTTTATGCCATTATACAATTTCACACCTCCATAGTCAACAGGTTGTTCAGTCGATCTGAAACATAATACAATGAAATATATTAATTTGGTTTGAATTTCGCTCTTTATACTGAATCACAATAGTAATGCTCATACTAAAACTTTATTTTAAAACGAGGGAAACCTACCTTCGTGAATGTCTGGTGGACTGTTTAAAAACAAATCTAGATATTCTAAAGAAGCTAGAGGGCCATGTCAGTCTCAGATTGCTCTGCATTTACTGCTGTAAATTCAGTGAGTCTTGTAAAATCATTACATCACACCTACATCTGAGGATGTTTGGAGGTTGTGTGAAAGGAAAACTTGACACTTTTTTTTCCCTCCAGTTTGGAGGGATTTCTTTTGAATTCCTTGATGTTCACTGGCTTGTGGTTGTGAGTTAGTGGTTATGTGATACCCATGTAATGTTTCCATCTACATAGTTAATTTTGCACCCTACATTTCCAGGGTTAGGGTTAGTGGTGGAGAATAAACTGGGCTTCGTTTGCCGTTTCGTTAATGATCGCCTTTTGAGTAACTACCCACTGAGCGGCAGGACCCGGATAAAATTAAAGTTCTGGGTTAAAAATTATAGTTCGGACACACCCTCCAGGTTGGAAGATTACTGAGTTCGAAGGTGAGTTTCCGTGACGTAAAAGCAATGTGGGTCCGTTAGATAAACTGTCTGGTGTCAGCTTTTTGTTTTTAAGTTGAAATTTGCTGGTGGGTTTAAGTTTTTAATCAGGGCCAAGGTAAAATAGGTTGGGCTGAGTAGAGGTCTTCAGAGGTTAGTACAACAGTAAAAACCCTGGATGACTTGACTGTAGGAAGAGCCTCTGGCTGGCCAGTCAGATCAGTCGATCTGTCTGAAGTTCTTTGTTCGCATTTGCATCATGGATGTGATGCATGAATTAATTATAATTATGGGGGAGATACAGTCCTTAGCAACCTTTTTTTTATAACTGGTTAAAAGGTTGGGCGAAAATCTACATTTTTGGTCTAGGTGTGCAAAAATAGTTAGAGTTTTGTTCAACAAAAGGTTAATGTCATGTCTTATTGTATTGTTTTCTCATGATTTTTAGAAGCCAAGCATAAGGGATCTATACTTATACATCACTGTGCTTCAATTACTTCCTGAGGACGACAGCAGTAATATATTTTTCTTACATATCCTGCAGTTAATGTTTTCTTTTGACATATTTTAAGATCTTAAATGTTTGTGTAATTGTGTTTTATTGGTGAACACTGAACAATTATAAATTGGCACTGAAGAAGCTGTTTTACACTAAAAAAAATCAGATTTCCAGGACCCAATAAAATTAAAGATAAAACAGAAATGGACATTTAGCCCTGCATTTAATAGAGCTGCTTTCATGACTTTACTGTTTTCAGTTAGTCAGTCTTTTTCAATTATCTTGACCTCTCCTCCACCTTAGTATAACTCTTCTAATGACTGTCTTCAATTCAGTTCAATTCAAGATGCTTTATTGGCTTGACCGAGGAATACAATCAGTGTTGCCAAAGCAAATAAAAATAAAATGAACGTGGAACAGAAAACGTCTACAGCCATATTACAGACATTTACAACAAACACATAAAATCTTTACATATACTGTAAACATATGGAGCATTATTGGGAGATAGGCTAACTGTTCCTCAGGCTGTCACATACTGGGCTGCCAATTCAACTGAGTTCCCTTGTCCCTCTCCCAGTAGGATTGGTACCCGTTGTGATTCTGGCAGGTGTGGGAACTCTGGGTTCAGATTTCTGAATTTAGGGAAGAATGTTTCTCTAATCCCAGAATATCTGTCACAGTGCAGTATGAAGTGCACCTCTGTCTCTATTGCTCCCTCCTGGCAGAGGGAGCACAGCCTGTCCTCTCTGGGCAGCCAGGTCTGCCTGTGTTTGCCCAGTCTTCTTTTTGTCCTCCAAAACCCCCAACTTCCACAACTTTTCCACACCTCTTCTCCTCTCTCAGCCTCCTCACTCTCCACTTTCTCTGCCTTGACACCCCTTTCTGATACGACATCTCCTCCCTGCTCCAGGGACGTAAACCTGCGTTCAGAATCCTCTCCCCACTCACCTCTTCCGGCCTTCTGTCTCTAATCTCCTTTTGGACACTTCCTCTTCTCTGAACACCTCTCTAATTTCCAGCTGTTTTCCCCCTTTGTTTCTAAACAGGACTGCATTCCATCCCTCCTTAAAAAAAAACACAAAGGACCCTTGATCTCCCACTCTCTCTCATCTTTCATTCTGATCTCTCATCCTTTCAGATCTCTGTCATTGTCTCCCTTCCTCCCTTTCTCTCTAAACCCCTCCAGCAGACGTTGTTCTGCCCACTCTGTGCTGTCTTCATTCTCAGAAAAGTTGATCTGCTCCCTGTTGCTGCTGCTACTATACACTCAGCCCATATAGCCTCCCTCTTCTCTGTCTTAACCCTTTGTGATGTCTCTAAAGCCCCTTATACTGTGTATCACTCTAAGCTCTCTTATTATGCTCTAGGAGCCCCAGTTTTATTAGTATCATTTGTATGCTAGTACACACTTAGCTTCTTAAATGCAGTCTTTCCAAGTCTGTCCTCCTTTCTGCCTTGCTGTCCTCTCGTGTCCCTTTTCCTTTGGTCTGCAACACCCTACTCTCCCCCTCCTCCACAGCCAAGAACCTCTCTCCTGCTCCTCAACTGCCTATCTCTTTCACTTCCCATTTTCAGAGACCTTTTCTTTCTCTACTCTCACTCCTCAGTGGTGGATTGAGCTCCCCATATGAGTCCCAGTTATTCGGTCCCTTGACTGCCTTAGTGCGTGCCTGTCATTTCTCAGCTGCACGCTTCAGGAACTCTTACATGGGCTTGCGCTGATCTTTTTGATTTTCAGAAAGGTAATTTGGGAAAGGCACTTCTTCACTGTAAGCCCAGAACTGTACCCACAGGGTGTGCCCACCACTCCTCTGTGTCTGCTGCATTCCCTCGCAGCACTGTTTGCTGTTTTAGTTCTTACCCTTTCGTTGTGTTTGAGTGGCACTGTGATACTGCTTTTCCAGCTTGTGCTAGTCTGATTGGCATTTTATGAATTTGATTTTTTTTTTACTGAATTGTTCGTGCCCTTGTATTCATATTAAGAATTGTGTGTATATCTAGTGCAATTTGCTCTGGATAAGGGTGTCTGTTGAACACATAAAGAAAACAGGTGATTACTAATTAGTATTTATGCTGTGTGATTGCCAAAATATATTTTCTTTGAAGTGTAGCCTTTTAAATAAGTCATATGGTTTGCTGAAGCAGTGTTTTAGTTTCTATTTTCACATTAACTGTTTTATACCCTTTCCTTGTTAAGATACAAAATATCCCGTACAATATGTATGTTTTCAAGACTCTAATATTCATATTTAATATAAAGAAAGTTTCTCAGTGCCACATCAAAGGGATTTATATGAGCACCAGTGATGCTTAAGCTATTGAAAACATCCTTAAGATTGGATTTCTTGGAATTGTGTGTTGCTGGATTGCTTCCCCAGAAATGTGCAGTGAGCTGTGGAAAATGTTTGGTGATGTTGATGTCAGTTTAGACAGCTACTGTATCTTAAAAGAGATGTGGGTTATATGAGCCTCTCTGCAATCTAGGTTTTCACTCCCGATTTTACTTGTTATATTCTTCGTAGTTGGATGTTTGCATTTGAAATCCTGTTGATGTAAAGCTTGCATTCTATGCTCTTTAAGGATGTGTACTCTGCTGTTAAGATGAAATCTTTATTCTCCCACACGTACACTTAAATAAACACAGGCTGTGATACAAGGAAGAAAATTGTTTTAAATAAGAATAGTTTATACAATAATGACCAATACAATACTTGAACCTATGATTTTTTTCAATGAAATACATACATTTACATTTGAGTCCATTTTAAATGCTTTAAAAATCGTTGATGAAATCTCAGATTTGTTTGACAGTACATAATATTGAAGCTGATTTTTTTCTAAATTCCTAAAGAACATTCCTTTGAATAGTTCCCAACCAGGTAAATAAGGACTTGCTTTGATTGTTCAGGCATCTCAAGTAGTGCTGATGATCAGTGTGAAATTAAATAACTGATTAAATTAAATCAGTCTTGTGTTATATAAGTTTACACCTTCAAATAAAATTGACAGTTTTGCCTCTGGAAAATATCTAAACTGTTGGAGGTTTATAGAACGATATTGAAAAGCTAAGGCAAACCAGTCTATATGCAGAAAGCACCTGTTTTTAAATAAGGTGATGAGGGCTATGTGTTATCTTTAGTCAGTGCGGTTTGAAATTGAAATATTCTAATGGGATTCTTTACATTGGTTCACTGTTATTTGTTTCTGTGTCTATGTGCACAAGGTTCCCTATGTAAGGTTTAACCTCGGTGTTTTATCAAGAAAGCAGTATATTTTGAAGGACTTTCAAGGACTCACCCAGAAAAGGTACTTTCCAGGAGTACAAGCTCAGCCTTATAGCCCAGTCATTGTGGGTTTTACTCAACTGCAACCTTGATTTCGCAAAAGGTGGTGACAGATTAGCTGAGAGTGGCTGTGTTTGGGAAGCCTTGAATCCGCAAGGGTATTGTGCTAACACAGACAGCCACTCTGGGTGTGCATTGTGGTCAGCGAGAGCTGTATCCTTCTCCAATCAGTACAAACATCACTCTAATGTACTGTAGGAGATAAAGAGTGCAAACAACGACAAAAGACCTGACCGTGCACTTCTGGAAAGAAAGCCTGTGCCATCCTTTTTCCACCCACACTGGTATGAGAGTTGCAGTAATAAATCAGAGATGTTTGGAAATTTATAAATAGAAAGGCGACTCTGTTTACTTAAAATAATGAGTAGCTTCTCGGAAGACCGTGTAAGTAAATTAATACTGTGTGATGCTTTAGTGCATTCCCTTTGTCAGGTTCTTAGGAGACAATCTCTTAGTATTTTTTTTAATCATTTATTGGAATAGCAGGTAGGAAGAAATGGCGGCACAATCACTTCTTACTGTACATGTGCAAAATGACAATAGTGGAATGTTTACTAGGCCTGTTTTCTAAAAAAAAAAGGCAGAGAATATTAAACGGCTCTTAAACAGGTCGCCTCTTGCCCTGATATGTGAAATGTGTCCATCTGATCACTACAGCGAGGTGTGATGTTCTATCCTTTTCCCTGAATTCAAAGTCCATGCCAGTGCAGGAAACCCAGCCCCCCATACTGCTGATCTGTGGGCCATCTGTAGTCTTGAGCTTCACGGCGCTTGTCACCAGAAGGGTGGCCTTGCACAGCTGTGGCCGAGGAAGAGTTGGAATTGCTTTTGGACGGCACCAACAGGTGCAGATGGCATTTGCATGGAGCTGGTGAGGGGAGGGGGGTTGATTATTGATAACCGTTTCCTTTTCCTTGCTGTCCAAACTCAGCGTTGCTGCCCGGAACAGGATCAGCCTTGAGGCAAGAGGCATGATTTATATGTCCAATCAGGGGATCTTAGAAATAATTGTTTTGTTAAAACGTGAATCTGGTTTTGAAAGATGTGGAATCTGGAAAGGTTTTTTTTTTCAGTTCTCACAGATGTCCTAACACCTGTCGTAGAGATGCTGTGAATTACATGACTCAATGCTTACACGCAGGCCCTTGCCTGCCTCCTCGCTTTGGTGACTCAAAAGAAGAATTTGCAAAAGAAATCAGGCAAAGATTCAGTAGTGCCCTGCTGGATCTTTTTACAGTTATCTTAAACGTAGAAGCCGGTGTTATGAAGCCTGTGCTGCAGTATTAAAACAGGTGCTTGGTGCTTAAAAACAACTGTTGCGATGTTGTGTATGAGTCTTCATGCTTAGGAGCGATGTTTAATTTTCTTGGTGTCAAATTCTATTGCAAATTTGTTGTGTAATTTTTTTGCATTGGAACATATCTACTGTGTAATATAACAAATCCAAGAAGCTGTTTTTTTATGTGTCTGACTCGGGAAATTTGAGCCTTGTTTATACAGGGCTGAGTGGTAATTTCCAGCTGCTGTTGTTCTTCGACGGCCTTGTTCTCAAGAATAGCTGATGTTACAGATGGACATCTTGTTTTTTTTTTATTTTAGGTGATGGTTGTGGCTACACTGTTCTGGGCCCTAACAGTGGGACTCTCTCATCAATCAAGTACCCCCACACTTACCCCAATCATACGGTCTGTGAATGGGAGATCCACGTCAGTCAGGGAAAGAAAGTTCATTTTAAGTTTGGGGACTTTGACATTGAAGACTCTGACTCCTGTCACTTCAACTACTTAAGGATATATAATGGCATTGGGCCAACAAGGACTGAGATAGGTGAGTACAGTTCACATCCTTTATTCATTTGCTTTTCACTGATCTCAAGGAAAGTCGTACATCACAAAGGGAAGAAACCCATTAAGTCAAGGGACAAGAAGGTAATGGCATTACAGGATATACTTCAACACTGAGAGACTAAGAAACATGAGCACCCCGCATGCTCCAGGATCAATCCACCACACCACTTTCCTTTTTTCTGTAAATTAACTTTTGCCAAGATATTTTGAATATGAGTATTTTTTCATATTAATTTGCATCTCGGAGATGCTCAAGAATGCATTACATCTTTTTGTTGTGAATCTCTTTTTTTAGTCATGTACAGAACAGCAGTGTTTTGAATTGTAGAGTAGTTTACATTACCTATTAAGATATTAAACACATATATTTAGACTTTAAGGTTCATAAAGCCTCAAATAAATTGTCAATTAGTTCAGTTTTACCAAATACTCTAAAAACAGAGTCTTCTATATGCTAAAGAGAAAGGACTGATACAGCATCTTTGACCAATGATTAGTACTCATGTATTGGTGACATAAGAATACAGCCACCTAGATTGTTAACTGTTTGCGTGTCTTCTAGAAGTATGAGCTGAAATTCTATGGAGTATATTTTTTAGAGCATGAACGAGGTGCCACTCAATTCCATACTGTTTGGGCTTTTGCAGCCTTGCGGAAAAGACAATAATACATTTGGATATCCATGTGAGGTCCCATTACCTCACATATCTCAGTTCCGCAAAGCTGATTTTTTTTAAAGAAAAAAAAATAGTTGGTTATTTTTTTTTATGATATCGCCTTCCCACACAATTTGAAACGGCCAGTTGTTTTCAGTCCAGGGTCTCTAGAAGCAGCTCCCACTCCTACATGGGGATCGCATGAGTCACACAGCATAGCTCCTCCAACACGCCAGCCTCCAGAGCCATTAATTCACTGCGCCCTGAGAGGAGAGGCTGCCAGCCGGAGGAGGAGTGGTGCCCCTCTCCCTGACACTTCCACAAGCGCTGCAGTCACCCAGAAAGAGACAGAGGCTCTCCTTTTTCTGGTTAAGTCCACGCATCCCAAACCTGCCTTTGCTATTTAAGCACGGCTGCTTGTGTAATACTGGGCACAGCTAGCTTGTGACATAACGCAGACTTCAGCTGCTGACTCCTGGCCCGTAGAGTTGAAGATATGCTCAGAATGCCCTTTCTGGCTGACTCACTTGAGAGCCCCGATTGCGCAGTCTTTTATAATGTTTTTTTTTTGTTCTGCTAACACGCATCTTTTGTAATTAAAACAAAGCTGTGTGTGCTGTATCTCTAGAGGCTTATTTTTTCTCCTGAACATATGATTAACATGTAAAATATAGTTTTAATTTTAACTGTAGCTTTTGGCTGTAGGTTTAGGTTTTGTTTTTAAAAGTTAAAACCAATGAAGATAATGAAATATATAATATAGATAGACTTATTTTAAAATACTTTTTGACTTGCAATATTGTAATTTGATTAAATGTAAGAAGTTATTCTTTATTAGCCTGGCTTTAAACAGCTTAATTTGGACAATTGATTATATATTTTACTTAACATATTCACTTTTTTTCTTGTTTGTTTATGGGTTCATATTGTGTTATATGTGTTGTATTATGCCATTATGTATCTTACCTGCCAGCAAAGCAAAATTCCCATCTGGGACAATAAAGGATGAAAGTAAGGTTAATTTGGAAATCTGTCTCGACAGACTGACATCAGTCTAGTGTTGGAACAGTAGTGAGGGTTATGCAGGAGAGAACAGCTGTAAGGACTGAAATAGAAGGCTGTAAAATTGTGCAAAGGCAACACATTAAGTCTTGAGAACTCCATGCAGTAATTTAATTGAGATCTAACACTCCATGTGGAAATGGTGAACACCGAGTAACTCAGTGTCTTTTCCTCCGCTCCTGACCAGGTAAATACTGTGGGCTGGGCATGCAGTGGGACCAGCTGATTGAGTCCACTGGGAATGAAGTGACGGTCCAGTTCATGAGTGGAATGCACAGGTCTGGACGGGGTTTCTTCCTCTCCTACTCCACCACAGACCACCCAGGTACACCCTTATTCTCACTGTGCGTCCTTGACTGGAATATATTCCCCTGACCGACCACGACCCTTTATTTCAGGAGAGTTCCTGTTGTTTTCCATTGGTCCGCACCACAGAATCAGTGTTGCTAGAATTGAATCACAAGCTGAGTTTTTTTTTATTTCACTTGGTGCCTATCAGTATTTGAAATATAAATTGCACTTATTACAGCTCTGTATATCCTGTTTCCTTCATAATTAGGTAAATGCACTATATTCCAATGGGAATACCTGTGATACTTGAGCAGTCGGGCAAACTATCAGAACTTTCAGAACTGTTGTTTTTAGAAGAAAAACTTAAAAATATGTTGGGAATCGCCAGTTTAATACCTTTTTTTGACATTTAATGATGTATACCCTTGAATAAAAACCTCTCAGACACGTACACTTTCTCTGGGGTTTTTATTCAAAACATCCAGGCATATTTCAGGATTGTATCAAGTGGGGGAAAATCCTGCCTTTAAGTGCAGTTGAAAGCTTGAGCCCACTCAATGTGCAGATCCATTACTGTTTCATGGCAAGGAATGGAGAAAAATCTAAACTGTTTTTATGAACCTTGGAACAATACCTGACATGCTATTGACATGTGGATTGGATTCCCTGGTGATTGCACCACTGCATATTCATGTGCGCATCAATGTGCAGGTCTTGATATACCGAGGTCAACTTCTTTGAAAAGTTTCAGGGAATTCATTTTGTTCTGCATCAGAAAATAAAATATAATAATATTTTTTTAAAATACTTGCAATAAGGGACTATTAGATCTCAGGAATTTAGCAAAGCTTTATTAAATTCAGGAATGAGTTCCCTTTGGACAGCTGAATATGCTGCAGTTGGCTGTTTCCCACCACATTTCCTCAAATTAAAGAAAAATGTGGTAAATTTATTTTTGGGCTTTATCAATACAGCATGATTATGAAAAATATAATGTCTCGGTAATCTTTGTCCATTCTTTCCTCCAGTTAGCGCATTCAAGCTATCGCCATGCGAATGTCATAGATCAATTTTCTTGCCAGTGTTTCATGCAGCTAACATTTGAGACTCAAAGAGGAACTATATTTTTTCAATTGAGTCAGTTGTAGCATTGATTTTTCTCTTACATTTCAGGTGGTTTCCTTAGCAGGCAGAAAGTATGGCTTTTTAAAAACTGCTTCCTTGAATCTTGTAGCAGGCAAGATGTCCTTTCTCAGATTGCAATAGTGTCTGTCAGGTCAGATATTTTTATATACAAATCCAAGAGTATTGTTTTGCTTCTTTTACAAACGGGGAGCATCTTACTTAAAATAATTCAGTTAACCCGATTTCCTCATTCCAATCGTACATGTGAAATCAGACAGCATTGGCTGACCATGTTATCGAGGTTAATCTTCCATCAAAAGAGTGAATACTAGAAGTGAAGGTCTGGATTGAAATATGAGCTCTTCAGGTCTTGACTGAAGGGGCAGTGTATTTTTGTGAGTGACGGCTACTAAGCAGAATGGATCTGGAGTTGCTGCAGGGCTCCCCATCTCCTGCATCTATCAGTCTGTATCTGTCAAACTGTCAGTGTAGGAAATGTGAGTGGATTGAAAGGCAGACACTCCATTAGGAATCTCAGATTTCTGACTGCCGTCAGGAGAATGGTTATTGGATATCTGTCAGCCCTGAGGAATCGGGAAGGCATTGTGGAGGTGCAGAAAAAGGTATAGATTATCTTTGAAATTTGGTTTTCTGGATGTTAATATAATTTACTGTAAAATATCATCTTTTCTTTTGACTAGATTTTAAGGGGCATTTCCTCCTGCCCTGCCATTTCAGTGTTCATCAATCGATATAGTGAATGGAGTTTGCAAGGATGATCAGTTTCCATTTACTGTCATTTGCCTTTTGAATTCCCCTCAACATTTGTTTACAGTGAAATTTCCTTCTGTTACTCCTCCTTTAGTAGTCACAGATTCCTTGCTCTGTCCGAACGCATTTTGTCTTGACTCTAAAGCATAATACGCTACTTAGCCTCAGTAAAAAAAAAAGTCAAAAGACCTGTGCCAAAAGTGGTTATGGCATTAGGTTTGATGCTGTAACCACTAAGCCACAACGGCAGTTAATACTGTGTAATTTATGTCAAGAAGCTATAAAGAGATTATTGTGAATTGGATGTTCAGAAAGGGTTCAGGGTTGTAGCTTGATCGATGTGGCACCGTCACTGGAAGGTGGCTGTTGACCTCTGCCTCCTTTAGGTAAGGGGAGAGCTAATGTGAACAATGGGTCCTCAGGGCACTGAAATCACATAGTGGAGACGACCTCTAGCATTAGGGTGAACAGGTCAGAACATAAGGTGCTAATCAAACTCGAAATCAATAGCAATTTTGTACGAAGACCTTTGCCCTTTTCTTTTCAGTGATCACTAGGCCTCACACAGGGGTCAAGCAGAAGATGAAGTTAATATGCAGGGAACTTTGCCATTCTTTCATGCAGTAACAAAGCAACACACTGGAGAGGCCTTACAATGCTCTATTATCGAAGCATAGTACAGTGTTTCATTGAAGGTTTTTTTTCTTCTATTTCATGCTGTCCTCATATGCCAGTGGGTTAAAGAGGAGTTGTTGGAGATATTGTTCATGCTGAAATCTACAAAACCTCTGCACAGATTCACCTCTTATTTAATCTGAAAGAATCCAGTATAGGTGAGGGATTTTTCCTGAACCTCTTTCTGTATGGGTAAAGAGAAAACAGATCTACAGAAGTATTTTTGTGAAACCAATGTTTCTTTGTTTTTTAAGAGATATTTTCTTTCCTTCTCTTCATTCACTTAGTAAAATATAGCAGAAAAACTTCTGTCTCTCCAATTCACTTTACAGAAGAGTGTTTATAGTCTGATGAATTTTTCACTGCTATGAGTCAAAAACAGCAAAGGTGAGACACCACGGTTTATTTCAGTCTTGTCTTAAAATGGACATTTGCCATGTAATAAAATGCCACAGTAGTGAGTGTACTGTTTAGTTTTGTTGAATAGAAAATTAAATGTTTCAATTAGAATAGATTAAAATCAGCACACAGTATCTGGATTTAATCCCAGTGCATATGGGCTAAGAATGTAGAAATACCAGAGCAGGTTAAGAAGTCTCATTACTACAATAGATTAAATGTTCTCTGACAGTGTAAAGATACAGTGATTAGCTGTAAAAACATTGTTTTGCTTGATTTTTTTTTTTTAGTGCAGAAAAGTGGAGACGCACAGTGTTAACGTTATAGCAAACCTAAGGTACTGCTCACTAAACATTTGTCCTGAATGATCTGTAATTGTTTTTTGTCTTTAATGTAAAATTACATTCTCCTGTTTATAGGCTTCCCGTCTAAGTGATGTTGAACTTGTTCAAGAAAATGTCCTCTAATTTCTGTGTGAAAGAATTTCATTGTCCAGTAGGACATGCTGTGTTCTTTGAGTCATACATTAAAATTCATCCTTGGTCTGTATGTAATAGTAGGATCCTGCTGTTTGGGCAAATAAAAAATCCAGGTTTGGAACGATTTAAATTAAATTTATCCAGGACAACATCTTAACTTTCACAATGATTGTCTAAATTGAAGCTGTGCTGGACAGACAGTATAACAAAGCAGCCCTCCCTTTGGAGAAAAGGAGGCTTTATTGTTCAAAGTTTATTATAAACTGCTGTTGTCAAGCACATTTATTTCGTGTACAGTTCCTAAAACCAGTGTGTTAAACTGCTCTTGCTGACTAATTGAATCCAGCTGTTTGTCAGGGAGTTCAACCCTGATTGAGTCTGGTCTTAAGCACCTGGCTTTAAGGCACTGGCAGTGTGTAGAAAATTCAGATTTTTTTTCCCCCCTCAGTTGCTTACTAATGGATGGCTCATAAAACGCCCTGGGAGAGACAGGCTTTAATGCCCATTGGAACTAAGTGGCCATAAAAAAGGGGCATGCTGTGAAAATGCAACCAATTGTTATTGGTCTGCAAAAGCCGAATGTGAGAGCCATGGGATTTGACAAATTATATGTCAACTAAAGGCACACCATTACAGTTGTGCTCAGTGCATTTGAAATACTAAGTCTCATAGTTCCATTACATCTTTGTACTTGATTATGCTTGGGTTTTTTTTTAAGCATTTGTGGCATTAAAAACAAACAAACAAAAAACTACAATTCACCAGCTGAAGTTTTCATTATTAAATAATGTCTTTTTTTCGCGTTTCAGTGGTCTCTAAGATCTAACTCTTTGCCTTCTTGGGCTTTGTCGGATAATATATTTACGCTCCTCAGAGTTAAGGTCTGAAAATGTGAAGCACTTTTTAGGCTACAAATTATACTTCTCGTAAAAGTCCCACTGTAGTCTCTTAATTCCTTTAAAAAACATTTTATTGTTCTATAAAACACATGATTCCTTGTATCTCTGTAGTATCTACTTTATGCACTGATGAATATGATAAAAATTGAATACTTAATTGGTGACTGAGTGATTTACTCCAGATTTTAAACGTTAAACTTCCATTGAACTGAATCATGACGCAGTTTCTCATCTCTCTACCTGATCTGTTGTGCCCTGAAGCTGTTAGTGCCTTTTCACTGCATTATGGCTGTGGTCCATCACTCCTGGTGGCCACCGCAGTTCAGTAGTGGATGTAAAACATTCGGTTTCCTACTGTATGTAGGATAAAAAACACTAAAGCTGTCGTGCCTTGGGATGAAAAGTACTATATGAGCGTAAGGAATTACTGATATTGTTACAGCATTAATGCTTTTTAAGAAAACAATGAAGGTAGGAACAAACAAGTGGGTGGTCTGTTTTCTGCCTTAAGCTCCGTGACGACAAGGTTTCTGAAGCTGCTGGGTGGAACTCCCTGAGAGTGTGCATTTTACTGATAAAAGATGGGCCTGTGAGGGAAAACAAAGCACTCATTCTCTAAATAGCATATGTCAGTTCCCGTTTCTGAAATGCTTAGACGTGTTGGGAGTGTTTTTTTTATCGCAAACTGGCCCCCTGCTTGCAGTATCATTTGCCTTCTGCACCACGGTGTTACTTGCTTGCTTTAGTGTGGTCATCGGTATCAGAAGGGCGTTGGACAGTTTGTGCCCCTTCTGTCCTTAGCCCGGTTTAGGTGACTCTTAACACGCTGTAAATCGGGAAATTGAATTTAAAATGGTAAAAGAAACAACAGTTGTGTTTTTGAGTTGACTATATAATTTTCTCCAACCTTTTTTCTTTTCTGTTTTTTTAAAGTATGCCGCTCATTTTGATACAGGAGGAGTAATAGTGTAATTTATGAAGAAGTAGTTGCGATTTTGGCATTAGAAGAGCCAATCGCAAAACAATGGTTGATTGTTAATAACCATAAGACAGATTTGCTGCCTCTTCAAGTGAGGTTTCTAGTGTCAAAGCTTGTGAATTCCTAATTTATTTAGAAGATTTAGAAAACAAAGTGATTCATTTCAGGATTTCCAGGCATCTCAAGCTCTTTAACATACAGGTATCTCAACGGATATGTCAGTAAGACACCCAGTTTGTGACATGTTCAGACTCTAAGGTCAGATTGGTGTCATAGGAGGATACAAGATAAGCACATCCTTAACCTACATATTCAGGGCAGACACTCCAATTAAAATGATTTGATTTCGATAGTCCTTGCACTCTGATGAAATCTTACATGATTTTTTGCCAAAGTATTAAATGAGGTGTGCATGGAAGTGTATTTAAAACAGTCTGCCAAGCCTTAGCCACTCTAAGATGAGTGGTGTCACTTAGGAAAGCTTTTCTTAATTGATACCACAGTGCTGAACTTGTATATGTAGTGCTCTAGAAAGAGGCTCAGTGAAAGGTAATTTCTAGATTAACATCATATAATTAATTTTTCCACATAAGAAACACCTGTCTATGCATTAATAAGATCAGACGTAAAACCGAGGTCCTGACTCTCTGTGGTCATTAGAAATCCCAAGGCGTTTCTCGAAAAGAGTAGGGGTGTAACCCCGGCGTCCTGGCCAAATTTCCCATTGGCCCTTACTAATCATGGCCTGCTAATAATCCCCCTCTATGAACTGGCTTCATCACTCTGCTTTCCTCCCCACTGATAGCTGGTGTGTGGTGAGTGTTCTGGCGCACTATGGCTGCCGTCGCATCATCCAGGTGGGGCTGCACATTGGTGGTGGTGGAGGGGATCCCCATTACCTGTAAAGCGCTTTTGAGTGGAGTGTCCAGAAAAGCGCTATATAAGTGTAAGCAATATTATTATTATTAGGGGAGGTTTTTGGATTTTATCGGATGTTTTCAGTCTATATGTATTGTATATATTTCCAGTTTACTGAAAAAGTCTTTTGAATTTAAAATGTGAATTTGTTTTAACTAATAAGAAGCATTTCCAAACATTTAGTTAAAACCTTTTCTGTGAGTAAAGGCTTACAATATTATTACAGCTATTTGTGTTAAATTCTGCTATATCTGTGTACAGAAATCAGCATGTCAAGTACTTACCAGTTCTGTAATATATCCTCAGTGCTGTGTTAACTTACCTTGACTCAGAAAACAATCTAAATCTGTATAAAGAGCTGTGAGCATATAGATCACCATTTCACATGATCCCTGTTAGTATGTTTTTTCATCTTTAAAGAGGGCACTATTAGTAAATAATTTTCCAGTAATTTCATTTAATTTATTAAAAAAAGTCATAATGAAGTCCTCTGGGGTTCGTATTATAGAAGCTCATGGTAGCTGGGATAAAAGGTGCTGTATTTGCTGTGTTATATTTGTGGTCCGTTTCTAGAAATATGAAGAAAGTTGTGCGGGACTCTGGTGTACTTTCCGAGCAATTTTTAGCAGATGCATCATGGATCACAAGAACATGATCAGTCTTGAGACTCCTGTGATCTGGCTACCGTGATTCACTTGGGGGAATTGGTTTGCGGTGTTACTTTAAATAAAGGCCGTGTTTTCCATTTAAGTCATACAGGGCAATTCTTCCAGCATGAAGATCTGTGGTCCAGTGGTCAGAATTAAGGTTGTGGAGTTCACCTCTATTTCTCATCACTGAAACTTTTGCTCCACAGACATTTTGAAATACCCCACACCACCACTTCCGTTGTCTTTATTACATTGAATGATGAAAAGCTAAATTGGTAGTTTGCACATTGTGTGTGTGTGGGTGCGTGCTGTAAAACGGTGGTTCTCAACCCTGGTCTAGGAGGTCCTCCGACTTTCAATTTTTGCTGCACTTGAACAATTGTACTTTTAATTATTAAAGCAAATTCATCCCTTTTAATACAGCCTTTTTTTACCTATCTCTGCAGTCAGTCTTTGATTTCAGACACACTCAGCTGCGTGTATTGTTGCAAAGGAATCTGCAAACAGGACTGTCTGTTCTCTCCTCAGTGTGCTTAATATGCGACTGGTGCCTGGTGTCTTTCAAAAAGCTTTTAATAGGTAGACCTGTTACTGATTCTCAGACACGGGTGGGGATGACTCTATTATAGAGCTCCACTAAAAGACCATTCTGCAGAGGTTTAATTCCATTCCACATAAGCGAAAGAGGGTGAGTGTGAAACCTGGAAATTGAATTAGGCTTGAGAGTAATTACTAACCCCCATCCAACTTGTTTAGAAAGGGGACAAGGGGTATTTAAAGGCTACAGATCACTTTCCCTTATTTCACCAAGAGCTTAGGTGAAAATTAACAGAGGACCAGAACTAAGAGTCTTGTAATCTGTAAGTGCCAAGACTGTCTCCCTGTTTTAATGTTTAATTTTGATGGAACATAACAGAGTAAGAGTTGAAGGGGAAATACCCACAACAGGAGCACAACTGCCCATAGTTGTGCTCCTGTTACCATGTCACTCTGCAGCTCACAACTGGCAGCCCACTGAAGCTCAGCAGGTGTGAGCCTGGTCAGTACCTGGATGGAAGACCTGGGAAAAACAAAGCTTACTGCTGGAAGAGGTGTTAGTGTGGCCAGTAGGGGGCATTAACCTTGTGGTCTGTGTGGGTTCTAATGCCCCAGTATAGTGACGGGGACACTATACTGTAAAAAATCACAGGGTGTCTCATAAAACGAATAGGGGTGTTAGCCAGCCAAATTTCCCATTGGCCTTTACCTATCATGGCCTTCTTATAATCCTCATCTCTGAACTAGGTTCACCACTCTGTTCTCCTCACCACTGAGAGCTGGTGTGTGGGGAGCGGAGTGGCGCACTATAGTGTCGTCACATCATCCAGGTGGGGCTGTACACTGGTGGTGTTGAGGGGATCCCCATTACCTGTAAAAAGTTTTGAGTGGAGTGTCCAGAAAAGCACTATATAAGTGCTTTATTATTATTAATGTTCTTATTAATTACAGTTGTGTGGGGCAGCACTAATGTTGGAAGGAAGTTTGATTTGTGGAGAGATGGGACAAAGGGGAGAAAATATTTCTCATAGAGAGAAACTACTAGAAAAGCCTGAGATCACACTCATGTCCATTCTTAATGTATTCAGTGGTTTTAAGTGTTATTTTTTAATAAGTTGTTTTATGTTTTCTAATACGTAAGACATTTGCATTGTTTTATTTTATTTTTCAGATCTGATCACCTGCTTGGACAAAGGAATTCACTTCTTTGACCCAGAATTTAGGTATGCTTCAATTAACATACCCTCCCACACAATTCAAAATGGACATCTACAGAGATGCTTGAAAGTTAGGTCAGATTTTGGGGGGGTTCCTTTAGAAATATAAAAGTAGGTTTTTTGTGATTGTGAACTTTTAATTTTTGAAATACCTTATTCAAAAGCACATATTTGGAATGAATGGATATCATACATTAAAAAGACATTGATTTCAAAAGTAGATTTTTTCATAACTCTCAGTAAATGTTCTCTGTAAGGCAGCGAATGTTGTATGTGGCAATGAAATAAGGTAATGACAAACTTTTGAAAAAATCCTACATATGTGCCTCGTCATAACAGCGGATAGTAAAACCTTCGTACTTGGGCATGTCTGTTTATAAATCATGTCATTGTGGCAGACTTGAGGCTGGACAGGGTCTGGCAGTCACAAAAAAACAGTAGATCTTAGTGTTGCTGTAGGCTGAGGTTTACTGAAACAAAAGAATCAGTGTACATAGCTGCACACAAGACTTTCCCACCAAATAAACAATGTAGTCACTAAGTTTAGTCTGTACCAATCCTGGGTCACAAATCCATAGTCTCTTAATTAAAGAAAGGTGAGTTTTTTTTTATAGCTGGAGGTTGGTCCTCAAAATGGGTTGACTGGTTGATGGATCGTATGTTGTACTTTGATTCTAGACACATTCTGGGGTTTCTTTATCTTTGCATATTATCCCGAACAGGGATATAATCTGTTCTCGATGGGTTAAATCTGAGCTGCTCGCAGCATCGGGAACGGACTTCTTTGTCTGTCTTGATATCAAGATAGGCCACTGTGTCCAAAAGAGGAATTTTGGAGGCTCAGAAAAGAAGTCTGATTTGAAACTCGCGCATGCATGGTTCTGGGAGGGAGATACTGCTTAACATCTTCTAAAGATATTAGCATTTAAACGTAGACAATATATATACACAATTTGCAAAATTAAACACTGCATTTATCTTACATACATTTTAGAAACACTCAAATAATTGAAAAACAAGCAGGCCAAAATATCCTAAACCAAAAAAATTTGATAATGTAAAATTCAGTTAAAACAGCACCCTTGAAGCTGCACTTTTAACACCAGAAATGTACTCGATAGGTCAATTAGGTCTGAGCAGGAGAAAATAAAGCCCAGAATTGGACTCGTATTACAGCCTGCTCTGTTCGCTCCATGTGGATGTAGTCAGTGACATCCCATTGAACTAGGAGAGCATCTGTGATTTCATGAACCTGACTTTGCCCTTCTTAGTGAAAGGAGGTTCCAGTGAGGAGAAATTGGGGAGATTGTGTACTTTTTTTTTTTAATGTGGAATTGCCACATTTGAAATAAGATACATTGCGCTCACTGTGCAATGTGCTGATGCTACTCGGGTGGTTTCCTGCTACAAGCCCTGTGTGAGGCGAGTTGACCCGTGTTGGCAGGTCCGCGGGCCTCGGCAGCTTGCGTCGCGAGGCAGGCCGAGGGAATCCTCTGCTGACTCTGTCCCCACCCAGCCACGGTTGGGCACTCGGCCAGTTGTGCTCTGCTGCCGTCTGGGGAAATGCCTTGCAGCCAGCAAATGCTCTAGCCCAGGTACCTGTATGTCTGCGTTAAAGGCACTCCTTAAGCTGGCACTCCTTTTGAGCATTTTCACCTCTTAAGTCATGTGGGATCCCTCAAAACTGATTGAAAACGAACATCTAAAATTCAGCAAGCAACCTCTCATTTCTGCATTTTCCTGTGGCTTCACCTCTCGTGCAGCACCTTTTAGTCGTGAGAAGATGCCATTTTCTGTTGGTATTGTAGCATTATTATAGGCGTTTTGACATGTTAAAGAATTAATTAAATTAAAAAAAACATCATTTAACAAAAATAGTGTTGACTGCTTGGGTCTCCTGGATGATGATGTTTGTTTGTTTTTTTTTTAGCCTGTTTTTTTGCTTTTATCATTTATTTACAGCAAATACTGCCCCGCAGGATGCCAGACTCCTTTCGGGGAGATTTCAGGAAACATTCCCCACGGCTACAGAGACGTGAGTATGGCTCGGATTTCTTAAAAAGCAGCTGCATTGGCCGCAGATGTCTTTTTTTAAGAAGCGAAGTAAAGCTACATAAGAAAATTATCCTCCCCTGCCAACTCTATATAGACCGACTGCCAGACAGTGACAGTCTTGCAGTTGTTGCAACAGGGAGTTGTCACAATGTGAGCATTTGCTGTATTATAGCTCTCTGTGATGGTATCTGTCTAGTGTGCCGATCTGCTGTTATATGCTGTACACATATGGAACAGTAGGCTAGCATGAGGAAGTGTGTCATGTGACATTCTAGCCCTTAATAGCCAGTGTTGTGAAACAAGATAGGTGAAGCCATAATGGACCGTCCAGATGTCACGTTTTTCCAGAATAATATGTTAACAGAAACATTCCCTGTTGCCTATCAGAGGAACAATTCCAAGAGCTTTAAAGCCCATCCTGCACTTGAAAACCTAAATAGCTGTTGTTTGGGGCATCTGATTGTGATGGCTCATGTCCAGGAACACATTTAATGAAGGAGGTTTTAAAATTGGTAGGAACTGATTGATTTGCCGTGAAGCTGATTGATCAGATTTGCCTTGCAAGGTGAGTTTGTAGTAGCTGTGAGGGAGTCAAGATTTTTTCCCCCGCTCCCATAAAAATGGTGGTTGTTGCAAAATAGTTTTAGAATCAATTACACGGCTACTGTATGTTCAGATGTGTATTGGTTTGATGTATATACTGTAAGTTAATAACAGCTGCTGTGTAACTGATAAACATGTGTAACTGTTAAAACAGAAATCACTGCCTGATCGTGAGACCTGATCAGGGCTGGAGAACCATTCATATCATTAAACCTGCACCTGAAAGAGAGACCACCCCCTCCCACCACGTGACAGTGGCCTGTGATGATAATGCATTCATGTAATTCAGAAGACCCTCCCCCAGCCCCGAGCCCTGGTCAAGCCAGGCGCAGAAAAGCAGAGACCTTGGCCAGCACTGTGCAAGAACATTTGTCAGCATTCCAGTCGCTACGCAGGTGTCAGCTCCCATTTGTCCACACATCTGCCTTTCTCTCTCTCCATCCTAGCAGCACCTTTCCACAGCCACAGCCCTGTTAGTGCATCACTTTCAAGCCTTTTTCTCTAAGCAGGCAAATATGAATTTGCCCACCCATTTTCTCTATTTTACAGTGGGCATAATGGCTACATCAGTAACGCATACGTTTTTCTTTGCTGAACGAACAGAAATATTTCCACTATATAGTGTATATAATGCAGTTTTCCCAAAATGCGTATTGTTATAAAATAATAGAAATGTTTAAAAGGATTACTTTGCCTTTAAGTTGATAATACAGATATGACTTACTGTGGTGACATCACTGTTGGTTGATAAGTCATGAATGGATCAGAAGGCTAAATTTCAGACTTTCCTCCTATACGTCATCTGGGGAGCGGTGAGCTAATTGTTTGGCTAAGTAGTTCAGTAATACTGCACAGCTGTTGGATGTGATTAAGTGCAAGTCACACTATCGTGTGTCTTAATTTAATCCTTTGTGTGCAGCAAAGAATTTGGTTTCAGATTACTTATTTTAATTCCTCAGGAAATGCATGAATTCTAACTGAAAGCCTCTGAAGTTCTGTTATTACATGGATTATTATCTTTTAGAGAAAAGTTATAGGACAATGTGACATTCCTGGATTTTGACCCTGTATATTATAAACCCTTTTGTTTTGCTCTTTAACAATAATATTAGAATAATTGCTCATGATTTTGTTAGTAATACTGTAGACATCTTCTTGAATTGCTAAAGGTTTATATTGTATTTCTGTAGTATTCATCAACAGTGACACTTATGGGAGGGTACATTGTCATACTATAGCGCAGAGTATTATAGGTATATATATTTTAAGCACATTTTTCATTTGGTATTCTTGGCATATGCGCATATCCTCTTGAAAAGAGGAAAACCTAATCTGAAATGCGATGCGAGGAGAAGTGTTCTGCCAAAGCAAACCCAGTTTCAATTCAGTAAGTTACAAAAACACATTTGTCTTTTATTGTTGCAGAAGAATTTCACGCACTGGTGGAATTTATTTTTCAACTAGGTGCGTCTCGCGGTGAATGGACGAAATGAAGAAAAATATTAGTGTTACTAGACGTTTTCTAAAAGATAAATCAGTCTTTTAGTCTTTACAACCTGGAGTGTTGTTGCTGGAGGTGAAGCCTGTGCAGCTTGCAAGTGGATGGATTACAACCATATGGACTTACTGTAGGTTTAAGAGTATTAGTAGGCTGTAAAGCTTGTGTGAGATAGAAAGATAATACTTTATTAATCCCGTAGATAAATTGATGTGTTACAGCAGTCCAGCCCAAGACAAGCAAAACAGACATCAAAATAGTTATAAAACAAAAGACAACAAAATAAATAAAAATAAATAAATACATAGGTGTGTGCAAAATGTGCTGATCATAGTCACTGTAAAAACAATAAAGTATGTGCAAAATGTGCATAGGTTTATACAGACTGATTGTCCAAAAAGTACAATGGAGTAAATGCTGTCCATAGACGAGCAAATGAAGAGCTAACAGTCCTAGTCTAGGGCAGCGTTATACACCCTGACAGCCGCCGGGAGGAAAGACCTGGGGAAATGTTTCCTTGAGCACTGTAGCTGGAGCAGTCTGTTGCTAAAAGTGCTCCGCTGCCCAGTAACAGTCCCATGAAGCGGATGAGAGGTGTTGTTCATGATGGCTGTGAGCTTGGTCAGCATTCTCCTCTCAGCCACCACCTCCATGGGGTCAAGGCTCATCCCCAACACAGTGCCACAGAGATTCCTCACATGAGGACACCAGGAAAGGGTCTTGGTGGTGGGGAGCCTTGTGAAGACCCACCGTTTCTTTCTGTGGTTTATTGCCCATTTCAGGGAGAAACAAATCGTGTGCCTTTGGAACGGCAGTCTTTTACTGGATTTTGTATTACTTAAATCTAAATTGACATTCTTGGCACTTGATATTTAAATGTAATTTGGGCTGCTGTGCCTTGTTTTGGCTAACCTGAGTTAAAATCTAATTGTTTAATCCCCACTAGCTCAAACTCTCTATAATATATAAAACATACAAAAAGATGGAGTTCTCTAAATTGAAAATACACAGTGCCCTCCAAAAGTATTACTCAAAAAGTCCAAAAACGTTTGCTTTACATATTTTCATGAGGCAATAGCTGCATGAATTGTCTGACCACTGATTACGTGCAGAATAGGCAAGAACATAGTGACATGAGCAAAACATCTTCAATGATTACACAGAGTTTCGTGAGATGAATGGGTCACCTAATTCATGCAGTTATTGCCTCAAAAGTATATGAGACTAAATACCAATTTCCCACTCTCTGTGAATGCTGGAAATCATTGTGCTAAATGTAAATTAATCGTTTTGTTCTAATGTCTTCAAATATATACATGTAATTACCTAAAAACAAAACAGTGTAATCTCATGATCACAAATAGAAATTGCTTTACTGTAAAACAAAAGTACGTTTTGACTTTGGTGTCCCAATACTTCCGGAGAGTACTGTGTTTATTTATTTTATTTTTGTGTTTATTTACTGTGTTCTCTTTATTTTAGCTAAAGTGCCGTAAAATGTTATTGCAGAGGCACCTAGAGTGGAATAGTGTGTTTGTAGTGTTTCTGTATAAAATCCATCTTTCGTATGCGATTAACCTGTTTGCGTTTGCTAGTCTCCGTTCCAAAGGTCGCTCAGCTTGAAACAGTGCGTTTCGCTTCAGTAAGTGTAGTTTGGTTTTCTCCATAGTCACCATCTGTCCTTTTTGGCCTTTTAAGAGAAGCTTTTTGGGGTTTTCACATGATATGTAAGAACTGGCTGTCAAGAGTAGCTGCTTGTTTTGGTTTGTGTGTAATTAGAGGGGCTCTAGCTCTACAACCACGGGAAGTGTTGGAATACTCTCAGATTCCAGGGCGGTGACTGGAGCTACCCACAGCGCTGATCTTGGTTTGTGGCATCAACCACAGTAATTGCCAGCCTCAGAAACCCTGAGGGGGCCCAGGACTTCCAGTAATGGAAGTGTCTTTGTGTCTTTAACACTTGTTTGGAGCTACAGAACTTGCTGCATTTGGAGGACACGTTTAGTGTATGAGAACAGAGAAGCGTGTGCTGGTTGATTTCAAAAACACAGAATTCCTTTGTAGGTCTGTAGTAGTCTATTAAATGTCAGGAAGTGCACATGCAAGTATAAGTTAAAGGTATACGTGGGGGTGCCATTTTTAAAACAAAGGTTTACTTGGAGTGGATTATTCAGTCGTGATCAAAGTCTCAGGTTTGCATCCTGCAGGTTTAGGGTTTTATGGGCCTGCTGAAACCTGCTGAAGACTTTGGAAACAGTGCTGTAGCAACATGGTAATAAGCAACTCACGATTGTACGTGAAGGGCCCAGGGGTGGTTCCAATTAAAACTAATTTCTTTGTGTTCCTAATTAAGCTGTTTCCTAGTCTTTCAGAGATGATGCTTTAATGATCTGAAAATTTCCCTGAGCTGATTGAGAAGAATTGCAGAGGAGCTGAAGTTTGTCACATCAGACAATGACAAATACACATTCAACTTTTTTATTGCATCTAAATATTCCACAGTGGTTTTTATCCCAGGATGTTACATCAGGCTTAGTCAGCCTAGTTTCTTAATCATCTTTGGTGGGACGAAGGTCAATGAATATTCATTCTGCTTAACATTACAAAAATGTGGATTGGTCTGATGTCTGTCATTGTAGCCTTATTAGTTTAGTTATTTTTTTCTCTTGATATGCAGTTTCTGGTCTAATCCTACAACAGACACTATGTATCAACTAATATCAACATACGTGTTCAAATAAAGTACTAAGATACTACTTATTTTCAACAAGGTTTTTTTGATTAATGAAACCCTGCATGCACTGCACTTTGTGTAAAGTTTCCACTTTACTTCAATCGATTGCTCTGTCATTTGTAAAGAAACTGTGTAGTATACAAAAGAGTCAAAGACTTATTTCAATGGGATGGTCAGGACTAATCATGCAAAAGGCCAGTAAAGCACAGGGTATCAATTGCTACAAAGAAAACATTCTTACTGCCATACTTTTGTAAACAGTGACACTTTATTATATGAGATCATTGCAAAAGTGAAATACTCAAAGGTTTTATATCAAAGGTGTGCTTTGTTTTAACCTTCGCTCAACATATTTTTAATAGGTTATAAAACAAGGATGCAGAGTGATCTAATGATTTCTGTTTGTGTGTCACCAAATTATTTTCTGGTTCTGTGTAAGTGCCCTCTGTCTTGTGGATGAAGTTCATCTTCTGAGTAATGGAGCCTCATAGATGGTTTTTATGGCCCATTAGGACTGCAAATCGTGTAGTATGCCTTCCATTTGTTAAAGATGTTCAGTTTATTACCTTAGTCCATTTAGCATGGCTTTGTGATAAGTGGGATCCACCTTAACCCAGACAGTGGAAGAGTCTATTTAAAACCTCTTCAAGATCAGTTGCAAGTGCTTGCTTGGGGTTATGTCTGCGTTTCAGCTACTGTATCTAGACGGATTGTTTTTCAGCAAGATCAAGAATGAAATGTGCCACTGCCCAGTTAGTAAAGTCGTTGTTTCGATATGGAGATCCTTGGAACACTGCTTTATGGGTTACCCTTTGCCTGTGTATTGCTTCTCTTTCAGTCTTCCTTGATCTGCATGGCTGGTATTCATGCTGGGGTCGTCTCCAATGTCCTCGGGGGACAGATCAGTGTGGTCAGCAGCAAAGGCATCCCGTACTACGAAAGTGCACTCGCTAATAACATTACCTCGGTTGTGTGAGTCCTGTTTTACTGCGCCACCCTGTTTTGCAGAGCTTTTACTGGAAAGATGTCTTATGTAAATGTTTCTGAGATATGTAATGTGGCATCAGATAAAGTTTATTGATCTGTGAGATGTAAGTAGATTACAGCCTCTTCCTGGAAGGGTGCAGTCATCTTCCAAGTACTTATTCATTTTCTTTGGGAGTTGGCAATACTGTTGGTGCATTTAAAGAGCTCGGAAGATCTAGAAATATCTTATTGCATTGGCTTATTCTGAAGCAGATGGCTTACAAAAGAACTATTTTGAATAATTCAGGAAGTGTTTGTTGTGGCATTACTCCATTGTACAGTTTATCTCACATTTGGTGTATATCAACAATAACTCATTTGTGATTATCATTATTATGCAGTATGACCTAGTATATTTGATATTCTGATAAATCATAGAAAAAGAAATGCACTTTACATTATTAATTAATCTTATTTTTTCCTCAGGGGCCCCCTGTCTAACAGCCTATTTACTTTCAAAACAAGTGGTAAGTTTAATATACTACTTAGAATACATATGAGGCATCACTGTGATCAGATTTTGAAAACATAGGTTGGGATATCAACCAAACCTCAGTTGCTGGACCTAAAATTTATACTATCAGTTCTGCCAAAGATGATACTAAACTTGCAGAGGTGTCTCATTCCACAAGTATGTGTGCATTTTTTTCTTCTGAAGGTTTGTACTTTGTCACAAATTTTCACAAAGATTTCGTTTTTAGTGTCAGAGTAGGTAATTGCTTTGAGTCCAGGACTGCATCTGGTTGCTCCATAACATATTCCAAAGCAATCATCTTTTTTGAGACTTGGTGAACAACATTATTAAAATAATTTTAATTATCATTTCTAAATAGTGTATTGTACATGATCATATCATTCATTGATTTAAATGTTATACTTTGAAATATGTGTATCTGAATATTGATTAGCTATAGTTCTTGAGACCAAACAGGGCAAAGAACTACAGCACATTAAGTGCATAATGTAAATTTATTTTTTTTCCTTGGATAAATCCTCATGTGTCTGGGATGAGGTTGGGGATGGGCTGTCATCTCCTTTTCAATTTTCATTTTTAGTTCAGTTGTTCGTCTATGTGTATAAAATAAAGGAAAGAAATCAAGTGTCCTAAAAAAAATCTTCGCTGGTTATATGGAGCTCCAATTTAGAGTTGCTGTGTCCTGTGTTCCGTGTTGTGTTTATATACGAATAGAAAACCATGTAGTAACTAATTTGACCACCAGTGACTCCACCTGAACCTGTTTGTCAGTCTCTCACAGCCAGTTCTGACTTCTGGCCCATCTTCTTTACAGAACTGCTTCAGGCCGGTGATGTTTGAGGGGCTCTTTGCATGAACAGCTCATCTGGGGTCCTGCCATAACATTTCAGTGGGGTGTAGGTCTGGATTTAGATTTTACCAGACCCGAAATGTGCAATTATGGCTTCAGCCATTCTGCTGCAGATCTGTTTGTATGTTTAGGATGATTATCTTGCTTTATCACTTATTTTTGGCACAGCTGCAGCTGGCGAAAGGATGAGTCTCCTCCAAAAATTTTCTGATCCAACACTGAATTCACGGGTCAGTCAGTGGTGACAAACCAGCCCAGTTCCTGAGGCAGGAATGAAACCCCAAGCCACCACATTCCCATCAATCGTGCTTGATGGTCAGGATGAGGTTCCTCTTTTAGAATGCAGTGTTTGGATTTCACCACACAATACTTTGTGTGTCAAGAGTAAATTCTTTCAGTAGCCATGTAGACCATCTCTTTTTAGAGAGTGTAGTTTCTTTCTGTCTGTGTTTCCGTGAAAACCAGTCAGTCTTAAGTCACTGAAATTACCCACAACAAGAGAGGCCCGCAGTTCTCAGGCATTACACTGGGGTTTTTGTGACTTCATGGCTGATTTTGTTTCGTTATTTGTGGGAAGATCTTGACAGGATGACCAGTCCTGGGTACAGCGACTGTGACCCTGAATACTTTTCCTTTGTAGAATGAGAGTGGCTGGAGGGTAAATGTTAAGGAACAGTTTTGAATTGCTCCAGACTGATGACCATTGACTGCTCATTTTCTGAGGTCATCCAGGATCTTATTTGATCGTGGCACGGCACATTTCCATCTTGATGGTAAAAAACTAAATTCATAAACTTTCTGACCGTTATACGGTCATGGCAGGACTGCCCAAACTGTCCTTGTGTACTTGTTAGCCAATTATGTAGCCACCCGATTCTAATTAACTCATTAACTGCTGTATGTAAACTGGTGGTTTGCTTATTTCAAGTAGACTGATTCTTAATTATTCATTTTTTCTTAATTCCTACATGATTGCACCTGAAAATAATTGAATATGTAAACAAAGGACCTCTTGGCTAGTTACAAAAAAGAGTTTTGGTAAAATAAGAGTATCATGGTAAGAAATTGTAATTCCTATAATTATACTGGGGGTCCTGAAACTTTTTCTTCCCTCTGTATGTTCACAATACTGTGCTATGGTACCTTTTTACTCCAGTCCCTTTGTATTAACAATTCATGTATATTCACATGACCTAATATTATAGATTATGGATTATGATCTAGATTATATTTATTAAAAGTCCTGCATTTTTAGTGGAGATTAGGGCATTAACATCCCAATAGAATGTTTTGTGTCCAGTATGAGATGATAATGCTGTATGATAAAATCATCCCGAGTTGGTTTTCCAGATATAAAAGCAAGACTTCCTGCTTTTCTTCAAGTGGTCTCCTCTTGGTTTCCACAGGATGCTACGGGACGCTGGGCCTGGAGTCCAGAGTGGTGCATAATTCCCAGATCTCGGCCTCTTCGGTGTGGGAGTGGGAGGATGTGAATGGGCAGCCAAGTGTGTGGGGGCCCGAAGGGGCCCGTCTGAAGAAGCCCGGTGTTCCCTGGGCTGTAACCGTTAACAACCAGAATCAGTGGCTGCAGGTGGACTTGAAGAAGGAGAAAAGGATAACAGGTAGGTAACGTACTTGTCTGTCCTCTTGGAGAACACACAAAGTGTTAAATATTTTATTTATTTTTTCTAATGCTATCTATGCCTTTAGTAAGAGTGACAAGTGCATTGGTCGTTGAACATCCATTTTTCCTGGTTAAGGGCTGTCACAGTGTTTCCTCACCTGAATGTAGAGTATTTGCCCCTTTTCACCGTTTATTTCAGAAAGGAAAATAAAAACGCTGATTTGCTTTAAGAAGCGCATTGAGGATTAACAAGGGAGAGAACATAATTTAAAACAGATAAGATTATCTGAGAACTTCAGAAAAAAGTAATGGAAACAAAATATTTGTTTTAAATTAATAGGGCTGAAAAATGTTGACTGAGGATTCATTAGTGTCTGTCGTGGAAAATGTGCTTGCAGATTTTTAAAATAAAGGTCAGAAATGACTTTTTTTGCCTTTTTGCGAGCATTAAAGTGCAAAATGTGCTCAGCTTCCATTATTACTAGTCGATGATTTGATAATCAACTGGGAACTTTCTTGTAATTATCTGACACTTTAATTGAAGACAAGTTTTAATTTAAAAAAAAACATTACATATGTGGTCAGTTTAATTCAGGTTCCCACCTGTGTGTTCATTAGAAGCCATGTTTGACCCATGCACTGAACAGTAATGTAATACTCCGTGTGACGCAATGCTTAGCTCCCGTGTTCAATACGTAGGAATCACAACCACTGGATCCACCCTCAAGGACTACTACTACTACGTCTCTTCTTACCGAGTGCTGTACAGCCATGACGGACAGCAGTGGACCGTGTTCAGGGAAACAAACACTGATCAAGACAAGGTACCACAGATGCTTCCAGATTTGCACCCTTTGCATTAGCGGGCAGAACCCTCTTTCTTCCTTAGACATCTCAATCACCGTGGGTTTTAGCTAATTGGAGCGCAAGCCCTCTTAATCAATTGCAATAATATTTGTTCTTGTATGCGTTTGGGGAAAAAAAGAACAGTTACAAATGAATGGTGGCCTTTTGGCCAGTTAGCTAATTGACTAAACAGTCTCATTCAGCTATTTCTTGAAAGAACCCAGGGTTTTAGCTTATTCCCTACTCTCACAACCTTTCTGGAGAAAGGAGTGCCTCTTGTTCTCGGCTTTAAATGTACTTCCATTTTACAAAATGTTCTGGATTTTGTATGTCATTGCTTTTTAATGTGAGGTAATGACATGGTGAACTTCTATTTAATGTTACTCCAAATGAGATTTCCGATACATGAAAAGATAGTGTTACGCACTTATACCCCTGTGTGTTCCCCAGAATTGGGTTTAAGAAAGTCATCTAAGGTACTGTTTTTGTCAATTGGAAAGAAAATGTATATTGTCAGATGCTTTGCAAAGCCTGGGAAACAGCAGGTTGGCCCTTCCTGGCAGTGCCTGTCTTTAGGATGTGGATCTGTCTGCTTTGACCTGGGTCAAGTGAGACCAAGTGCTGATGAGTGCTCTTAAGAGAACCAGATGAAGAATATGTGCCAAATTTAAGGTTTCCCCTGTCCCACAAGAACCTACGGGCCAATTACAGGTTCAATTACAATTTACTCTTTTTATGTTTTTGAGTATTTCTGTAAGATGAGCTGGACTGCAGCTGGAGTTGACCCACGTGGATAAACATCTCCTCTTATTAGTGTTCGGGCTGAAAGTACTGTCCAGAGACTCATGGAAGCATCAGTATTAAATATCTTCCAAAATATTTCAAAGCTGAGACAGGAATTCCTAGGACACTGACCCAGTGCAGAGCTTGACTTTAAAATTGAGGACAGGATTAAGAAATTGCATTGGCAGGAATCCTTCTTACTGGGTGACTGCATCTGTGAATTGTGTCCTTGCCTCTGTAATACTAAGCAGAACCTGCTTTTCAGATTCCTGTTTACAAACACAGAGCTCACCCACCTGTTTGTAGAATTGTAGTCTGAGCTCAACATGGTTCTTTACATCTTTAAATGTAGTTGCATCAAGTGTGACTTTGCTGGAATCTATTGGAGGCTCCTGGAAACTTAAATTTTAACTTCAAACTCAATTTTACATTAAGAGACGAGAAAGCTATATATATATAGCTATAAATATGTTCAGTAAAAACAGTGTTCCTCATCAGAACAGATGTTACCATCCAGGTCTCAGGAGGTGAAGCTTTTCATTTGACTCTTCTCCGACCCAGACCCTGCAGAATGCTTTTACTAATTGCATTATAGCCAGTTAAAGGTCATGGGTCCCCCCAGGCCAAATCAGTCATTAGCAGGCTTAACAGCTAGTGCAGCTGCTCTGCAGACTGACAAGTGTTGCTCCTTTATTTTTCCCCTTGTTTTGACTGTATGATAAGCTTAGATCTTCATCAAAGCACAGAGTTAGCAGACATCTTAAGAAACGGCACATATCCAAGCAGGAGAAAGAAGGCTGCGATATCGCTTAATGCTGCCTCTTCATTTCCGAGCTGTAGCAGTACTCTTTGACATTGGAAAATGAAACATTCTTGGCTTCATTTCAGAGCTGGATTGGGATCACTTGTGGCTAGGCGTAGCAAGTGTTGATGACCACTTTTGGGTTTTTTGGAATTTCTTTTCTGCTGGTTTGACAGAATTGGTAGAAACCGGGAAAGTTTTCTTTGAAATGTGAATAACATTCTAACCATTTTTTTTTCCGAATGGTATTCAATCTTTTGTAGTTACATGATTTGATTGGTGTTTTTTAACAAAGCTTCACCTGCAGCAGTTTAATTCGCCTCATTGCTTGAGCCCAATCACCTCTTACTTATGAGGTCATTTTGTGAATACAATAGTCACATAACTGTATCATGATAAGACATGAATAATCATTTAATTAGTATGTGTGCTCTATATATACTGTATACCTTTAAATTCTTTAGTAGTGTAAAGTTGCTTTTGTAGCTCATTATGCTTCCATCAGAAAAGTTGAATACAGACATACAATTAACGTCTAGTAACAAGTATTCCAAAAAGGAATGTTTCTTTTAATTCACTTTTCAGCTCTTGATTTTTGTACTGATTCTTATGTCTGCTGTTTGGATAGGATAAAGAGAATATGCTACTTGTGAAAATGAATTGCTGTAGTCTGCGTCTGCTAATAGCTTGAATGTCTGCTGCATTTTGTTGACTAACGTATACATTTTGCTGCTAGATTTTTCAAGGAAACACCAATTACCTACAAGAGGTCCGAAATAATTTTATCCCTCCCATTGAAGCGAGGTTCATTCGAATCAACCCCACACAGTGGCACCAGAGGATTGCAATGAAGTTCGAGCTTCTGGGCTGCCAGCCACACACAGGTGAATATGAAACACCTGCCTTTGAACTGCTGGAATACATCATTTAACTGCCTAGATACAGTCTTCACAAGACTAAGAAGCAACTCCACAACTACTGGTTGTGCTTAGCTCAGAAACAGGAAGTAAGACAACACCCTGGACGGGACTCCAGTCTGTACCAAGGTGCACACACACTGGTGCAATTTAGAGCCATCCGTTAAACTAGGCAGCTTGTCTTGGGGAAGTGGGGGAAAACTAGAGCTCCTGGAGAAAGAAGATATTGGTTGTACCAAACACCATGCAGGAAGTACCCCAAGCCCAGATTCGAGCCCAAGAACTGAGACAGCTTCGCCACCCAACACTGCACCGTACCAAGCCTACTAAAAACCACTACAGGATCATTCTGAACAATGGCCTGCAAGCCCTTCCTTCCCAACTTTGAATTCTTCTCCTTAGCAGTGATGCATATACGTATTTGCTCTGTAAGGTCCTTAGATCGCTTTAGATATTTATATATAAGCACTTAAGTTACTTCAGTATATCAAATATTTCCTATTACTCTAGAGATTTTTTTCGGGGATGGAACTGAAGTTAACATGGGATCCAGTTTACTGCCTTTGAAAAGTTGTAAGGAACCGTTTGGTGTTTTACAAATGCATTGCACCTTCTTCCATGTTGCAGTATACATTCTGGACTGTTGGTTTGTCTCAATATTAATGCTTTATTTTCACAGGGAGCTTCTCTCCACGGACTTATATGATATGATACATGCCTACAATTCAGTTTTGACCTCTGTATCTGTGTGTTTTGAATATATCCATCCATCTATATGATATCCATCAGAAAGTTGTATATTTCTTGTAAAGGTTGTATCAACTTGGAGTCTATCCTGGAAGCACAGGACAAAATGCAGGATTACACTGCCTATTTAAAAACAATCAAGCACATAGGGACTGTTCAGAAACACCATCTAGCCTTGCCAGCCTGTCTTTGGAAGACTGGAGAAAACAAGAGGCCTGGGGGAACTTGAATGGAAACCGTTAACTCAGGGGGAGAACTTGAAAATACCACTTGCAGAAGGCACCCTAGTTGAACTACTTGAACCACTACTTACTACTTTCTGCTTGAACCCTGGACCCAAGAGCTTTGAGGCAACAGTACGAAGTGCTTTGCCACTTGTGTATGTGTGTATATTTGTATACCATGCATACATATACATGCTCTGGCAACAGAAACTGTGCACATGTCGTAGATGCCTTATTATATGATATTATTTCCATGCTGATCCATTATATTGTAATGTTACTGTATCTCATTAATGTATAATGTACAGTAACAAGTTTTGTTTTGTAATTATTGCAGTTTAAACACCTCTGTCCTAGACAAGGCCTTCCCTTGTTGCAGTAGCCATGTCACATCAGTGCCTTGTTAGCTTAATCGTTAATTTGAATGTAATCTTGGGGATATTCCAATTAATCAGAATATTCAAGTTCGACCATTATGGTCTACATCTGGAAGCAAGGCTTTGAGCATGGCAATGACCATGGATTCCTCTTGCACACAATGCTGGCATGAATCACACAGTGCTCAGTTTCTGTATTTCGCTGAACTCTGTCAGCCTTTATCTTGTTTCTTGTTCTGGCCAGCATCCTGGGAAGGTCTCATAGCTGCTACTGAAAAATCACATACAGTTCTATGCAAAAGTTTGGGCACCCCTGGCCAAATTACATGTTTTGTTGATTTTCTAAGCAAAATCTTTTTATAGCCTTCCCCTGCTTTGTAAGGGTCAGTTATCTTTATTTTCTGATCCTCAGTCAGCTGCTTAGAGGAGCCCATGGTTTCTGAGTGTAAGCGCAACACCCTGAGAGGTTTGAAGAGTCAGAGAATTTATGAAACTCTGGAATTGTCATCACCTGACTTAAGGCCTAACGAGTCAATTAAGTTCTGAGAGCTTACAAAAAAATGAGGCTAGTGGATCAACTGGAAGGGTGCCCAAACTTTTTCACGCGCCACATTTACTGTTTTATTTTTTTCAATCTGTTAAATTTAACTAATACATAGTAACTGTGCATTAATATTTGCAGAAACATGTCAAGTTTAAGTTTGCTCGCTGCAGAGGTTATGTTTACTTCTTTTCACTTAGAAAATCAACAAAACATGTAATTTGGCCAGGGGTGCCCAAACGTTTGCATAGAACTGTATATGCAGTCCCAAAGGCAATCCATTGTCTTCTGAGATGGACACGCATTGACAAGACTTTCCAAAAGAACTGAAAAAAAGCCTAAAACTATCTTTTTGTATCACAGAAGAGACATCCAGTTCCTTTGTTGGTTTTGTGTTTATGCCGTATAGCCTATCATTATTGATCGCCTCTTCAGTATTGCCCTGGAAACCAAAAGAGCTTACAGTTGTCTCGAACCCCTGTGCTTCTCTCCTGTATTCAAGTGAGAGCCCCTCCCCCCCGGCCCCCCCCAAAGATCAGCACCGACTTCCCCCCACTGTACGACAAGACCACCTACACCCCTGACATCAAGAACACTACCATGGCCCCCAGTGGAAACAAAGGTACAGCTACCCTACTACTCGATTGTTTCTGCCTCATCGGAAAGCTAAATGTAATAAGATTAAGTCAATTAATCAGAATAAACATAGTGGCTGTAATGTCGGTTTCAAGTACCAAAATTACTAGATTTAAAACCAGCTTTTGCTAAAATCCTGACAAAGACAGCAGTAACTTTACTGGATGGTGATAAATACAACAAAATAAAAATACCCTTAGCTGCCGGTCCTGATGAGTTCTACTTATGCTTGAAAAACAGCAGCTGTTAGGCGGTACTTGATATCTTGTAAATTTATGATAGGTGTGTTGAACTATTTTGTTGTTTGTTTCTGGCTTCAGATGTGACCTTGGCTGCAGTCCTAGTACCTGTCTTAGTTATGGCTTTGACTGTGCTCATATTGTTCCTGGTGTGTGCCTGGCATTGGAAAAACAGGTGAGGCTCATTTCTATTAGAATTGCATGTCCTAAAAAATAACCGTTACATTTCCTTATTGTAAAAAAAAAAGACTTTGATATACTCAGAAAATAACTGCTAATTTCCATTTATTCCCTAATTTCAGTTTTTGCACTATGGACAATCAAAGGCAGATGACCAGCAATAATAGTAGAGTCTGTGAGTGATGACGCAGCACTACTACGAATCCAATATTTTGTCATTTTGTTTTTTTTACAGAAAAAAGAGTGCTGAAGGTGCATATGACTTACCACATTGGGACCGAGCGGGTAACTGATCCTTTTTCACAAATTTTGAATCTTGAAACAGTACAGAGCAGATGAAATAAGTGTATTATAAATAAAGATATCATTTAGGATCCTGTTCTTCTCCTAAGATTTCAAAAGTCTGTTTTGTATTTTGATCTAAGCCGTAGTGAATGTGCTAATGTGGGCAGCCTGATGACTGTCTTGAATTGTCCAGAATTATCACTGTCCAGTTATGTCCTCTTATTGCTGAAGTGAATTATCTGTAGGTTTTGCCTGGAAGAAGTGTCATATATTTGTGAATAGACATCCACTGGGGGAGGTTGGCTGTACTTTGAGGAGAAACAGACTCAGCTATCTGTTGGAATACCAGGACCAAAATTAGAGTTCATACTGGGTCTCAAGATTAGATATGGACTTCAGAATACAGCTGCTGCTCTTTGCAAGTAACCTCCCACTTCTGAAACTAACCATGCACTAGAGTTGTGGAAGTGAGATAGCCCACTTGTGGCAGAAATATTTTAAAATATAAACTTATCTAAATGGAGGCAAATCTCACTGATTGATGGCAAATCACATCCTACAATCCTCCGTGACAAGGCCACAACTCTTTGTAGTGTGTCTTTGTCATGCATGGTAGTATTGCCGTACCGCACAGTGAAGCCACTAGTGAGGCCACTGTCTATGGTGCTGCAGTAAAAGTTCATGAGAAGTTGCTTTCCCAAACCGCATTATGGGGGAGAAAGTGCAGGTGCTGTTGTGCTTCTTTCAGCATGGCTACATTGTTGTGAGAATTGAGATGAGCTACACTAGCACCATTTTAACCTGTAGCTTTACAGTTATTTGCAGCCCTCATTGCCATCCCTTCTGTTCTCAGAATGCTTGTTCAGGATGACTTGCATGTTGTCTTCATCCTGTGTTTTGCTGACTGCCAGGCTGGTGGAAGGGCATGAAGCAGTTCCTTCCAACGAAAGGCTCTGAGGTGGAGGAGTCCCCAGTGAGATACAGCAGCAGCGAAGTTAGCCGTCTGAGGGCGAGAGAAGGAGCTCCCGTGCTGCAGGCAGAGCCAGCTGGTATGAAACATCTTCATGGGCTTTAATATAAACTGGGTTTTGTTGGCTTCCATTGTGGGTTACTTATTTTGTGATTAATTGAATTCCTCTTTGTCTATCAAATCAAGCAGTGTTTACTTGACATCATTTTCTGTTAGGAATGGTGGCAAGTATTCCTCCATTAATTATGTTGGTAGACCAGTAGGTGGCAGTCTTTTCTCCAGGCCACAGTTTCCCAATGAGTGAATCCCTATGATTAAGATAAGATCACTTTTAATAATAAGATCACTTTATTAGCCATATACAATTTCTTGCATTAGGAATTTCTTTTCGCATACCCCAGCTTGCTCTCCATGAGACACACAGGAAAACAGACAGGGAGACAGAGAAGCTTGGGTTCAGAGCGCAGGGTCAGTCATTTATACGGCGCCCCTGGAGCAGTTGGGGTGAAGGGCCTTGCTCAGGGGCCCAGCGGAGTAGGATTCTTCTGCCGCCCGCGGGATTTGAACTGGCAACCTTCCAGCCACAGTGCCACTGCTCGGCCCCCCCATTACAAAAGGATGCATAGATTCATATCAGATGTTAAACCAAACTCCTAACTACTTTGCACTATTCTTGGAAGTAGTGGGTATTAATTCTGGTTTCCTGGCTCAATTATGTCCTGCACTA